CGACATCAAAGAAAAAAATCTATAAAGAATATGACTGTCCAACAATTGTTAAGAGATGTTGATTTAAAGAAAAATAATATATATTATTAAAGATGACATAATAAGATAAAAATTTGGAATATACGATTTTGTTCTGTCGTATTTGAATATTATGGAAATATGAAAGAAAAATTTAAAGTGTTATATATTTAAAAGATATAAGAGGTATAAATTGGTGTAAAAAAAAATCGCACATCGCACGAGTTATATTTTACTAAAAATAAGTAAATGAATGATTAAAAGTAGCATAAAATTGTAAATGGTTAAATCAAATTTTTGTCTTTAAATTTAATAAAATTGTATAATTCATGAATCACGGTGAACCATATTTTAGGGTTATTGGAGTATTTTATTTTCTAAATAAAAATTACAATAATGAATATATTTTATTTACATATAAAAATGTAAATGAAACAGAAGAAAAAAAATTGTTATTTATTGAATCATCATAATTTGTGCTTCAACCGATTGCCAGGAGGTTGAAGGTTTAAAAAAAAAGGATATATGATTTCACTAAAAGAAAATTTGAGAAATTAATTTTCACTAATAGATGAGAAAAACATTTTATTCAAAAAGAGGATATTAAACAATTTCACTAAAGATGAGAAAATAAGGTGAAATTTTGAAATGTAAGATTTTATTCAAAATGTTATATTTGAGTTTTTTTAAAGTATAAAAGAAAAATATTGAAAACGTTGTAGTACCACAATTTAAAATAGATATAAAAATGATAAATTTTGAGAAATGAGACTTTTCAAAAATGCAACTTTTTCAAAATTTTTGCAAAAATACCATTTTTTCAAAATTATTTATTCATTATATCATTTATATTTGGATTAACTATGTTGTATTAGTGGCACACCAAAAGTGGTATTTTTGCAATTGTCCCTATAAAAAAATTTAAGTTTTGATACATATAAAGTAAAAAAGTAATGGTGACATTATTCATAAATTGTATAACATAATATATGAGCAATGATATATGATCTTTATGTAAAAATGTACGTAGTTCTACACCACAATCCAAGAAAAATACATATTTAATAATTTAATATTTCAACCAATGTTTTTAACCCAAAAAATCTAGAAAATATAATTTTAAAGTGTTTAACAAAACGTAAAAAACAGATTATGTATAAAGTAACTTTCTATATTTTAGTGTCTTACCAAAAAATGACAAAAGTAAGTATATTGATCTATACGTTGCACGATTATAGTTAGAATATGTTTGAAGATTTGGATGGAGCTATATTACAATAAAAAAATATAATAAGTTCTCAAAACCTAAAAAATATTTATTTAAAATTTTATATTAACCATATGATATAAGATTTTAAATAAATATTAGAATGTGTTAATGAATGTAAAAAATATACTTATATACTAACATAAATGGTTACCAATACACGCTATACATGATATAGGTACAAAATATAGGAAAACAGCACAAGAAAATCAAAAGAAACCAAATTCGCACAACGCGTGCACAACGCGAGAGCCCAACTCTAGTTGTAATAATGACTGTATCTGGACACAAACATGTTGTAAATAGAGAATACCCCACAAGGATAATTGTATCTGACTAACCTTAATTTTCGACCTATTTACAAGTATTTTCCGTTTATAGATTTAATATTTTATAATACTAATAATTTTAATTGGTATGCATTAATGTTTGTTTTTTAAAAAAATATATAATATTTGGACATAAAAGGTCAAAAATTTATATGTATATTTTTTACATTTTA